CTTCAGTAAGCCAACTAAAAGAGGTGAATAAGGGAAAAGCAGAAGAAAGTGATTTAATCAATGGGGTCATACTGGGAGGAAGGACTTGGGGGCGGGGTGGCGGCTAGGATCACAGCTGAAAGTTTACCTAATTACAAGATCCAACGGTCCACTGAGACTATCTACAGGCAAGGCTAATATTACAAGACAGACACGACCCTTTTTTTTTTTTATCAATTTAAGCATCAAAGGGTCTAAAAGGATGAGCCCTTTGGCTTCTTTGTGCTCTGCTGATGCCTCTTCTCACAGTACGTTACGTCACAGTAAGTTTTTATTCTGGTTTCAGGGGTGTGGTCCCCGTAATTGTTCAAAAGTAAAGCCCAGAAACATGGAGCTGAGGGCTGGTGCCGGTTGTGCCCCAATGGTAATGAGTCAGAGGCTGCAAGGCTGCTGTGAGCTAACACTTAAGAGCACCCCCCCCACTTCCGCCCTACTTCTCCATCTCAGATATTTGATGGGGAATTCTCCAGAGGACTGAACGTATTCAGAGGAGGGAGTTCATCCAGGCTCAGAACACCGCAGGGGCATTGCCGAGCAGGTCCCTATCCCCTGCGAGAGGTGCTGTGCTCTTGGGGTGGCACGGGACGTTTTTTTTCATGTGTGATTCTCCATGACAGATTGCTGTCATTTTCCAGTGTGTCTTCAGGAAGCCAGGGCATCTGTCATTGGTTCCATTTTGATAACGGACATAATTCTCTCGGGCTTTTTGTGGTGCAATTCTCCCCCCCTCCCCGTCATAGCTCACCTAACAGCACTAGGATTTATGAGGCCTTTCCTGGGGGAATAAAGCGGGACTCTACAAGTTGGAAAAAAATCCTTCGTCTGTATCTCAACCCTGATGCTTGCTGATTTGGGGCAAAATATTTAAATTCTAAGTTCTTTGTTTCCTTCCTTTGTAAAAGGACATTATTTCATGCTGTACAGTGCCCACTGTACATTACATAATAAATGACAGCATTAAGATTCTTGTGCTGCGGTAACATTGGGAGAGTAGGCAGTGTCTGTTGAATGGAGCGGGAGGCAGGAAATCTCTGCTATCTGTTATCTGTTCCAGTGTCCTGCAAATACAGCAGGGTTCCTAAGATCTCAGGCCATTAGCAAGTGGAGGACGTGCAGGGGTCCAAGGGCAGACAGTCTGGCACTTCAAAGCCAATGAAAGGGAATTCCTGAGAGACCAAGAGTAAGAAACAGTGTCAAGGGGAACCAACGGTTCTGAGTGGTCAGGGCTGCTTAACCTCTGGGAGGCTTAGCTGTGTGTGCTACATACAGGGTTGATAGATATGCCTGCAAGCCCACTTCACAGGGTTGCATGAAAGAATGTGTGTGGGCATGTCTCATGAACTGAGTCGAACGGGAGAAGCCACGTTGCCATGCAGAGCATTACCGTGTTCATGTCTGCTTTTGCCACATTGCTCTTTGCAAATGGCTGAAGCATGGGATTAGAGCTATAAATAACCCAGCTTATCAAAGCCCTGCTTGAACAAAACATCTGGTTTACAAGACACCTCCAAGCATTTTAAGAACACTCATGTAAAAATATCCTTGCAGCTGCAAGCTCACTTGTACGGTAGTATTCGCTTCGAGTACTGGGTTTGTCTACAATGCTTTATGGTGCGCATGTCATACAATGTCAGGTAGTATGTGGAATGCATGTGGTCGTGCTCCTATTGACACTCACATACCTCAGAGACAAACACATAAGCAATTCTCCCCTTACAACCCATTTTGATCTGGATGTGAATCGTCCCCACCAGCCCATGTCTGAATACTTTCTAAGAGTGTGGTGTGACGCTTTTCTTCCACTGAGACTCACACCACTAAACTTCTGCTTTCCCCGAGTCCCTTCTGTCCTCTTCTCTGCTCCTTCAGGTTCTGCTGTAGTAGCTGGGAGATGGTGCTCTCTGCCCCTAGAGTGAAAGGGATCTCAAATGGCATGGGGTGAGCATTCAACTGTATTCTCTAAATTACCCCCCCCAGGGGGCCTTCACCAACTACTTTTGCTTCATTGATTCTACGGAGTTTCAGTTGGGTCCCCACCCCCTTTACAGTGTGTCTTTTTATATATAAAATGCAAGGAAGATAGCCATAAAATCATATGCTTCTCTTGGAGACAGGATAAAAGAGCAAAACTTCTGTGAAAGGATGACTTTAGCCCATCCGACTCCCTTGCCAGCTCAAAAATGGCATGCGCAGAAGTGACATTTATCAGAGCAAGAAGAAAAATGTTATTTCTGTGTGTTTTGATGGTAAAACTTTGACCCCAGAGGCTAAGCAAATAGCCAAGTTCTGTCTCTTTAATTCAAAGACTGCTGGTGGCCAGCTGATAAGAGAAGGGCCCTGTCTGGGCTAGGCTGGAAGGGGAACAGAAGGCAGAAGGTTTGAGTGGCATGTGCATTGTTAGTCTCAGAAGGGGAAGATGACAGGGCGCAGAGAGTCTGGCTTCTTCTGTAAAACAGCCCCACCGGTCCCTCCGGGCTGCGGGACCCAGGGTGGCTTCTTTGCTGGCTGGCCTTCTCTGTGATGTGCTCACTTCTCTCCGGGAACAATGACAGCCGATGCCCTTCCCTTCCTCCCCTTCTCCTCTGCCTTCCCCCCCCTTTTTTTCTCCCTTCCCTTTCTCCTTCCTTCCCTCCCTTCCTTTAGTTGCAGGTTGAAGTCGGAGTTTCCCTTTGTGGGTCCTTAGCCCACAGGGCTCGAGGGGAAGCTTGAGAAGAATTTTATTGGAGTTTGGGAGGTTAAACAGGAGGGTGGTTGCCAGAAGGAGGGGGATGGAAAAGAGAGAGAAAACCATGTCGTTTGGCAGCGGTCATACGGCAGAGGGTCGGGGAGGCTTCAGATAAAGAGTGAGAAAGCCCAAAGTGTTGAGGAGAGTGTGTACAGGCTTTGAAAAAAAGAGAGGAAAAAAAAAAAAGAAAAAGAAAAAGGGAAAGTTTTCTCTCAGGCAAGTTTAGTAGTGCTATATGTCAGGGTCTCTTCAAAGAGACTGCACAGGGATAGGGTTTTGGGGAAGGGTTATGTGCATTTTCTCATTAAAGGGATAATTATGCCTTCCATGTCCTTAGCAGGACTTTAGGTATCATATTCTTCCTGAGGGGTGGTATCTTGATGAGGTGATCGATGGGCCCAGAAACATTAATTTTTTATCTTATTTTATTTTTACTTAAGGTGCATTAACTCTAAAGGGAGGACACAATAATGTATAGTGTTATAATCTTTGGAGCTGGCCAGAATGCCATGTCTCCTTGAGGGCCAGGGGTATATTCCATTCTTTTAACCAGGAGTTCAAAGCTTTCCCTTCCTGGGCCTCAACAAACCCCTCAGGTCCTCAAGGGCTGAGACCCTGGCTGGATGCCTTTATCCCAAGTACTTGGGAAAACAGAACCAGGCAGATCTCTGTGAGTTCAAGGCCAGCCTGGTCTATATGCTAAGTTCTAGGCTAGCCAGTGCTACCCTCCCCCCCCCAAAAAGGAAAAAGGAGTTGAGACCTTAAGATCATTCGGGAGATGAGTTGAAACTGGAAACTAAACACAAGTTAGCTCCACTGTGGAAATCCAAAGCTGGCCCCCAGAAGGGATCCGAGTGTCTGTATCCCTACACCTCCATTGCTCATTTAGGGAGAAAGCTAGCAGGAAGCCAGAGTCCCCAGCTGGCATTCCTGTCTCTGGCCAGGGACGTGAGTGGCACTGCTGCTGTCTGGGTCCCTCAACTAAAGCTGCCAATGTGTTTGCGCCTCCATCCTCATCGGCTCGACTCACGTGTGCTTAGGAAGGCTAAGAAACCAAGGGAGGGCTGGAGTCATCTGACTGACCATCCATCAGCTTCAGGACCCTGGCTCAAGGGCAAGAAGTCAACAGACCTCTGGTCAAGAGGCTCTGGAGTCTGCTGACACTCTCCCTCTGCAGGGGCAGCAGCCATGCTGGGCACAATGGTGGCAGGGGGGCAGGGTTCTCGACAGTCACTTGCAGGAACGAACAATCCCTCAGCAAGATTGTTGTGAGGTACCCAGGCAGGGCCTCCGAGAGAGGAAAGGACAGTCGTCTTTGGCTGGAGGGCGGGTACTGACACTGGTGCAAGACCCTTCACTGCGTCTGACGTCAGCAAATCCAGGCTCTCAGAGGCAAGCGCTTGCTCCGGGGAACACTGACATTTTCTTTACAGTGCAGTTTTATTTTCACCTGAGTCAGATGACTCCGAAAGTAAAGGGGCATTCTGAAACTCTGCTTGGGACGCAGCATCAAAAGGCAGAGAGTTCATGTTTTGTCTTACGTAGCTGTCCTTGGACTGACTCTAGTCAAGGATGACCTTGAACTCCAGATTCTCCTGCCTCACTTCCCAAGTGCAGGGGGGATTATATGTGTGCACCAATTTCTTCCTTTTTAAAGAAAAAAAATGAGAAAACCTGATATATAAAAAAAGCTTCATACCTTGCTCAAGGTCATATAACTTAGTAAATGCCAGAACAAGATTGTCTCCTGATTCAGTAACATTTCCAGGAAAGTGGCCTTGGGACAATTGACATTGAATAAGATGACATACAAGCTAAAACAAAGAGCAGATGTGCAAAACTAAGCAACATGTAAGCCACAGATAAATATATTTTCTTGTTTTCTCCAAAGATAATTTAAAAAAAAGTTTAATTTCTATTTTCCAAAAATAAAAGGGCAGGGGGGAGATAAAGAAGATACTGAACACAGTAATATTTTGCAAATCAACAAGTACTTAAAAATACCACAAGTATAATAATAAAACACATTTGGACAACGACAGTGCAGTAAGCAACTGCTGCTTATATCCTGAACATAGGAAGCTGTGGTGCTTGGTACCTCTCGGTCTGTGAGTAAGGGACACGAGCAAGCCTGGTCCCTGGAGATGGCGCCAGGGTTCAGGAGGCTCCGTGCCTCACCGAGGACGGTCTCTCTGGAGCCCTCTCGGGGGCTTGTACAATGGGTAAGGGTAATTACCTAGGCATGTACAGGACTCTCTCGGCCACCACGAAGCCCACCCTGAAGAAGAGGTTGCTGGCTGGGACGAACGGGAACACGAGGAACAGCAAGCCGGCCAACACTTCCTTGTGCTCCAGCCTCTGAAACACACGACAGGGAAAGAACGCGCGTTTGGATCTCTGTCTCAGACGGCATTGTTACCGTCTGGCCCTCAGCTGGTTCTCAGCTGATGACCGAATGCTCACATCGGAGAGCTGGACTGGCCGCGGAAGACCTGGTTAGAGGTGCTGGCTCTCCACGCGCTCGCCTGTGCCCAGTACACACCTGCCACCAGAAACATCTGACATGGGCACAGTGGGTGATCACCGGCCACCGCTCTGGGAAGCCCGAGAACTCTGCTCGTCCCCGCCTGTCCCCTATGGCCTCAGCACTGCACAGAGGGCAAAGCGGAGGGCGGAGCCTAGCACTGGGATACAGTGGTACCCACCCGGCTCTTAAAAAAGAGGCTGAAGAGGTCACTAGCAGGAGCCAAGCTTTGTGTAAAAGAAATGCTGTTCTGATGGCGAAACTGAAGGTGCCAATGGGGAGGACGCATTGTAGGCTTCTTGGTACCTCTCATATTAAAGCTAAAGTAGATTGTTATTTAGGTTGGGGTTTTTTTATTAGTTTTTTGTTGTTGTTGTTGTTTGTTTGTTTGCTTTGAGACAAAATCTCTCTCTGTAGCCCTGGCTGGCCTTGGCACAACCATCTTTCTCCCGTAGCCTCCCCAGTACTGGCATCATAGGCATGGGTTACCAGGACCCGCTGCAGAATTTCTTAAATTAACACCACTATGAGCTGGGCAGCTGTGGTACACGCTTTTGATCCCAGCACTTGGGAGGCAGAGGCAGGTGGGTTTCTGTGAATTTGAGGCCTGCAGAGTGAATCTCAGGACAGCCAGGACTACACAGAGAAACCCTGTCTGGAAAAGCAAAACCAAACAAGCAAAAATGACAAAAACTCACTAAGTAGGGAAAGGGCCTTTTCTCAGTATTTGTAAAGATGCTTCTTTAATCTTTGTGTAATTAAAATCTGTAAAAGTCAACTTGGAATGGTTCTATTAACTAAGATCTCCCCCTCACAGTTCAGGGGACCCCGTAAAGAGAAAGAGGAGGCAGGAAGAACAATGTAAAAGCCAGAGGGCTTGGAGGACGCCAGGAGAACAAGGCGTCTCTAACTCAACGTGAGCAAAGCTCCTATGAACTCACAGAGACTGAGCGGTGTGCACAGGGCCTGCATGGGTCTGCACCAGGTCCTCTGTGTATATATCATAGCTTAGTGTTTCCATGGGATTCTGAATGTGTGAACGAGAGGGTCCCTGAATCTTGTGCCCTCTCTTAGGCTCTTTTCCTTCTGTTGGCCTATCTTCTCTGGCTTTAATGTGATAGTTTTTGTTTTATCTTACTATATTTTATTTTGTTATATTTTAAAACGTATGAATGAATGGACATAAACCTAGCCACTAAGGTAAAGGTTAACAACAGAATTGTCGCCTATACCTGCTAAGAAGAGGACAAGCAGGTTTCTCCAGTGAGTGACACTGGGTATGCCAGCCACTCCAGGGCAGATCTCATGTTCAGGAGTAGTTAACCAACAAGTAATGGACAGCATAGTTTGTTTGTTTGTTTTAATGTGTTTTTATTTGCTTACAGTTTTGCTTTCTTTTCTCTTTGCATGACGTGGTGTTTTGTTTTCTAGGTTTTGGGCATTTTGTTGTATTGTATTTTGGTTCATTTTTTTTTCCTGAGTAAGAACGTAAAGTTTGGTGGGTAGAAAGGAGGAGAAGATCTTGACAAACTTGGGGGAGGGGAAGAATACTATCTGTCTGTCTGTCTGTCTATATATTTAAAAATTGTTTTAAATAATTTAAAAAAGCAAAGGTGGCTGTACTTCCACATATTCGTACTCAACAGACGTGCTTGAAGAGTTTTAGTTAAAAGACACTTGAGGATACTGGATGCTGTTAGTTTAGAGGTATACCCTGCAATCTCAGGGCTCAGGAGGCAGAGGTAGGAGGACCGCTGACAGTCCCAGGCTAGCCCGGGGTGCAGGGGGAGACCGCTTCAAAAACAAACAAAAGGCTTAGGAGTGGAAGCAAGTCTCCAGGCAGCTAACGGCTGCTAGGGGAGAGAGGAGCATTTCCATTAGCGGTACAGCCACAGGTTAGCAGCCGGTGCTCCTGTAATCTTATGAGAGACCAGAATGAGATTTTTTTTAAGAAGCATGAAAATAGAAGAGTACAAGGTGAGAAGATCAGGATAGAGGGAGGGGACAGGAAAGGATAGTGGAGGGCAAAGTACTAAAAACACATTTTATAATATACGAGAATGCTGTGATGAAACCCGTTATTATGTGCAATCAATCCATGCTTGCTGGGGGTTGTCCTTCTATGTATACATTTTTCCTATTGGTTAATGAATAAAACACTGTTCGGCCAATGAGGCAGGAGGATAGGCAGGTCTAGGAGACAAGGAGAATTGTGGGTAAGGTAGGCAGGGTGGGCCTGCCACATGGCATCGTCATGTAGAGACTGGGGAAGAGAGGACACATGAGGCATTCTCCAGTAAGCCAAGACAATGTGGAAATACATAGATTAATAGAAATGGGTTAATAATTAAGACAGAACTAGCCAATAAGAAGCCTAAGCCACTGGCCAACAGTTTTATAATATAAGTCTCTGTGTGTTTATTTGAGACCCAAGTACTACGGGACCAGCCAGGACAGAGAGCCTTTCCCATTATCACACACTGAATCTTTTATGAGTCTCATAAATATTTAAAGTACTATATTACTTTTAACAACTAGAAGAGAATAAGACAATATCATAAACATAAATAAAACTGCCTACCAGGAACTACAAATACTCTAAATATGCAAAGTAAAAGATTTGTCACCAGGATTTTATTAAATTCTTTGTCTTATTAACTACCACACGCAGAGTAATGAAATCTCTTGGAGAGACGCCACACGGTCTGAACTGTTTCCCTCAAATGATCTCTTTCTGTTACTAATGACCTACAGGAGCCAAACTCCTTAGAAGTAAGGGGGTAAATAAAGGTCATTTTAGTGACTTCCAGATCAGGTAACCACAGAGGAATGTTGTGTGTGTATGCATCGCATACACATACACATACACATACATATACATATACATATACACATACATATACATATGTATGCATATATTTCTATGATCTCCCAAAATTGCCAAGTGAAAACGTAAAAAGGGACTAAAAACATGAGGCATCAGTTGACTGTGCTTAAAGGCTACAAGCTGTCTGTTTCAGGTCTCTTTCTGTTGATGTGATTAAACACTCTGACCAAAAGCAACTTAGAGGAAGAAGGGGTTTATTGGGCTTACACTTCCAAGTCACCGTCCGTCACTGGGGAAGTTAGGGTAGGAATTTGAAGGCAGGCCTGCCTGCTATCCTACATACCATTACCTCTATGTCCAAGGAACTCGATTTATAGCCAAGGAAGTGAGACAGGAACCACGGTGTGACTTGGTGGTTGCAAGGCAGGCTGATGCTCAGGTGGCTTTCTTATGCATCAGCTCAGGACCACGTGCCTAGGGAATGGTGCCACCTACAGTAGGGAGTTGGGTCTCTCTACATCAATTAATAATCAAGATGACACCCCCCACCTCCACGGGCAGAACAATCTGATCTAAGAAATTCCTTAATTGGAATTCTCTTCCCAGATAATTCCAGGCAGTTAATCAGGATACTATCCTTCTAATTCAGGTAATGGTCTGAGGTTACCAAGGGCATTGCAGTCTAAGGACCTGGCGTATGTAACGGAAACCAACACCCTCAGAATCCTGTGCTGCCAGGGCAGGGGTTTCTCACTAGCAAACACTGTTCCCCATAACCCTGAATCTATACGGAGTACCCTGAAAATAATCTTTCTGTTCAGTTTCAGTTTGCATAGAGAGTTGACTTTTGCCTTCAGCTCTTTGAAAGCCAACATCCACAAGAAAGCAGTCTCTGCCTCTCCGCTTTAATAGATCTAACACTATGCTTCATTCGAAACATCACAAAAGCTCTTATGTGTAGCAATGCTCTTATGGATGGAGATAACAGACTGAGCCCAGGTGGCCGGGGGACTGACCTTGCCCTCGGCACTCCACCGCAGAAACCAAGAACACAGTCTGCAATAGACCATGCTGAGGTAGAGGAGTCAGAGATCCATCTGCTCTGCACCAGGGACCTGGAGTCCATTCCCCAGTGATGCCATCGCCGTCATGTTCTGGGTACCCACCCTAGCATCCTTTGCAGCCTCTGCTTCCCTCTGGCAGTGACTTGCCTATATATGGCACAGCTCCCGCCTACAATCTCTCTTCCTCCAGACTCATGCAGGAGTTTCATCCCAAGGCTCACGTTCAAAGTAGTTAAGAGTACGAAAATTTAACCCGATGATGGCGTTCAGAGGCGGGAGCCTGCAAACTGCTTAGACTTGTTGAGTGGACCCTTTAGGCATTATGAGGAAGACCACACAAATGAGGCCTAGACGCACATTTCCTGCATGATATGATACAGTCAAAGGGGGACCCTCGCCAAAGCCTGTCCCATGCTGTGTGGACTTGGAGCTTTCAAAACTGTAAGCCAAAGGAACCTCTTTTTAAAAAACAAGCTTGCCTCAGATACTTTGTTATATTATCAAAAACCAGATGAATTCATTCTCCAGGGCTACAGCTCCCATCCTATGTGTCCTGCAGAAACTCGGGCTCAGGGCAGCAGGGAGGAGAAGATTGCAGGGACAGAAGCAGAAACACGGTTTCAATGAGGATCAGACGTCTGGCACGGGTAAGTTGGCTCCAGAACAGCCAGGCATGTTCCTGTCTTCACACAGTGTTGACCACTGCTTTTCTGTTAGGCTTCAGTCCTTTGGTAAAGCTCTTAGAAGATCAGTGAAGCTATAGAAATTTATAGTGTTGTATAAAAGCCATAAAGATGGGGTCTGGAGAAATACCTTAGTTGATAAAAATGCTTGCCTTGTCAGCATGAGGACCTGAGTTGGATCCCTAACGTTCATGTAAAAAGCCAGATGTCACAGCATCCTGTGATCTCAATGCAGGGAGAGTGGAAATGAGCAGACCCCT